GGATTATGCTGCTTTCAAAAAAGATGTTTTATTTGTATTTTTTTTCTCTTTGTGAAAACTCAAATAAAATTTACAGAACAAGGAGGAGGAGGAGGGGAAGGAGAAGAGGAGGAGGAGGAAGAAGAAGAAGGAGGAGGAGAAGGAGAAGAAGACTAATCACTGGCTGTATTATCCATACCCACCATTTATGGAAATGGATTTACAACAGAATTTAACCAGGGGTTTTAAGAGTAGAAGACAGGAGCAGGGAACACTTCAATTGGCGGACAGCATCCCATGCTTTAATTCAGGGGTCTCCAACCTTGGTCACTTTTAAGACTTGTGGACTTCAACTCTCAGAATTCCTCAGCCAGGTTTGTTTGAAGTCCACAAGTGGCCAAGGTTGGAGGCCCCTGCTTTAATTTATTGTAACGAGGAATGTTCTTTACAAGATCAGCGTTCCCATTCATCCAGGTGAATCGGGTATTTCTCGGGACACCGTAGCTGCAAAAGTGTCCCTTTCGGGGGCGGGGGGAATGCTATTTGATGGAAACCCGCCCTCCCCTGCTGGAATCCCCAACCTGGATGGGAGCCTCGCCCGCGTAACACAAAGGAGGAACGCGAAACCGAAAGCGATCGCGGAGAGATTCGTTTTCAGCAGCGCTCCTCGAGAAAACGAAAACGAAACTCAAACGATCCGCTGTTGGCCAACCGAGTTGTTTTGACGTTGAGTTGGCGGTGGGGGTCAACGAACCGGGCCTAAAAGGGCCAAGGCGGTGAGAACCAGGAGAGGTGCGTTCAAAGTCGCCCACCAGGAAAGGGCCGGCTGGGTCTAAACACCCCCTGCCCGTTCCTACCTGGCAGGTAGCATCGCTGCCGTCCCGCGGGGAGCTTCCTCCCCAGCTGTCCCTGGGCGTTGTCTCCGCAAGAAGCCAGGCTCCCGTCGGCGAACAGCAGCAGCGTGTGCCGCTCCCCGCAGGCCACCAGGACAACCGCTTCTTGCCCGCCAACCGCTGCCGAAGGGAGACGGAGAGGAACCGGCTGGGAAGCCCCTTCCTCGCCCGAGCCCAGCTGCCCGTAGGAGCCGTCCCCCCAACCGAAGAGCATGGCGATCCTCGGTCTCTGGCTGCTTCACCCCGAGATTTCTCCCAGCGCGGAATTCGGCCTTCCTCCCCCACCGAATAGCAACCTTGAGGGCGGCTCAGCTTTGATAGACGGGTGTAAAAAAAACCCAACAACGCTGCCGTCTTTGGCCAGCCCCGCCCTGCCCAGTTTTCTTCCCAGTCTTGTTGGATACATTGTAGAGAAAAGGAGGGGGAGACAGAGAGAGAGAGAAAGAAAGAGGAAAGGAAAGGAAAGGAAAGGAAAAGAAAGAAAGAAAGAAAGAAAGAAAGAAAGAAAGAAAGAAAGAAAGAAAAGGATTGCAGAGAAAAAAAATTAAGGAAGGCAAGCTTCCTCTGACCAGGCCTGGGTCTCTTAAGAGAGATCTGGATAGCTGTTTCTGAAAAGTTGCTGGCTGGTACAAGCATCTTAAAAATAGAATAGGGAAGTTGGGAGTCTCTGGAGATTCTCAGTCATCCAGGCCCTGGTTGTCCCAAAGGTGCTTTTTTCAGGAGGCAACTGGACTTACTTGGTTTTTTGCTTGAAGGGACACAGGGCAGAAAACATCCTGCAGCCAAGAAGGCTGCACACCCACTTGCACTACTCAGGTCACCCTGAAGACACAGATGAATCCCCAAGTGCCCTCAATGACCCTCTAAAAAGAATGCAAACAACCAGCTGTCTGCAAGGAGTATAAATCCTTCCATTCCCCCACCATCCAGTCAGAGCTGAAGAAGCTTCTTGGATGAGAAATGAAATGTCTTCCAAGAAAAAAACAAGGAAGTCCAGTTGCCTCCTGAAAAAGCACCTTTGGGACAATAGGGAAGTTGCTCACTCACTATGGGCAACTGCGGGTAGGAAGTTTTTTTTCCGTCTGACTTTCTAAGAACAGTGTTCAGACAGATGTTACTCTGCCTTCTTCTGGTGGCACTTGATAAAGCAAGCTCTCCAGCAATCTTCCACTGTTATGCTGGAAATGGACCTCACTGCCTGGTTATAATCTGTAACAGAAACTGATGGATGGAAACTGATCAAGGAGAGATTCAACCTAGAAATAAGGAGAAACTTTCTGACAGAACAATCAACCAGTGGAACAGAAGTTGCCTTCAGAAGTTGTGGGAGAGTCATCACTGGAGACTGCCATCAGTCAGAAATGGGATAGGGTCTCCTGCTTAGGTGGGGGGTTGAACTAGATGACCTACAAGGTCCCTTCCAACTCTGTTAATCTGAGTTGGTGTTTTAGATTTTTTTTTTTTTTTTGCTTTCAAGCTCATTCCCAGATATGATTATAACCAAGCAGTGAGATCCATTTCCAGCATAACAGTGGAAGATTGCTGGAGAGCTTGCCTTATCAAGTGTCACCAGAAAACGGCAGAGTAACATCTCTCTGAACACCGTTCTTAGAATGTCAGATGAAAAAAACGTCCTACCCACAGTTGCTGATAATGAGTGAGCAACTTTCCTATTGTTCCAAAGGTGCTTTTTCAAGAGGCAACTGGACTTTTTGGTTTTTCTTGGAAGACATTTCGCTTCTCATCCAAGAAGCTTCTTCAGCTCTGACTGGGTGGTGGGGGAATGAAAAGATTTATACTCCTTTCAGACTGCTGGTCATTTGAAGTGTTTTAGAGAGTCAGTGAGGCCGCTTGGAGGTTCATCTGTGTCTTCAGGGTGACCTGAGTAGTGCAAAATGGGTGTGGAGCCTTCTTGGCTGCAGGATGTTTTCTGCCCTGTGTCCCTTCACTGTTGAAGACAGGCCCAGGCTGTTGGGGATGAGTCTGGGAAGAGTCAGACTGCAGGAACCACTTGTGCTTCGGTTTGAGATGCAGACAACAAAGACTCATCCTGAATAAAAATCCTTCCATTCCCCATCATTCAATCAGAGCTGAAGAAGCTTCTTGGATGAGAAGCTAACCGTCTTCAAGCACAAAAAAAAAAAACAATAACCAAGAAAGTCCAGTTGCCTCCTGAAAAAAGCACCTTTGGGACAACCAGGGCCTGGATGGCAGAGAAACTCCAGAGAGTTCCAACTTCCCTATTCTATTTTTAAGATGCCTGCACCAGCCAGCAACTTTTCAGAAACAACTATCCAGATCTCTCTTAAGAGACCCAGGCCTGGTCCAAGGAAGCTTGCCTTCCTTAATTTTTTCTTTCTTTCTTTCAATTGTGAGAAGAAACATCCATCTGGTTCAGTTCCAAGCTGGGAGACACTGGAAACATGATTGGAAAGATGATTTATTGATGAACCAGAACCACATATTTGTGGTTCTGGGCAGCTGGCAAAATAGAGTTGAAAGGGGTTTTTTTTATACCTTCTTTTGTGCTTTGCACTTGAGCTTCCTGTTCCTGTGCAAGAACATGTATTCTATTGGCTGCTGTCAGATTCCTATGGGGCAGAGGTGAAATTCAACCACCTCACACCACCTTGTGCGAGGTAGTAGGGACGATTGGGTTCAGTTCGCCAAACCAAACAATCACCACTACTTGGCCCCACCCATACCCGCCCGGTCGCACTCATGTTGGCAACAGGGGTGATAATGGTGGTGGGTGGACATGCACATGGGGAGGGAGAGTAGCGCATGGGAGATCATGGCATCGGAGCCCTTCCCAGATGGAGGGAAGGGGAGGGGAGGGCGCAATCTCCCGCCCCGTCAGGAGCCGCAAAGCACTCACTACCCCTCTGGCACCCAAGCCTCCTCCCCACCGCGCTTCTCTTCCTCCTTGCTAAAAGCGCTCACATGCCCAGCAGGAAGGAGGCGGCTTGGCGGGTGCCAGAAGTGCGGTGAGCACTTTGCGGCCTGTGAGGGGAGCCCAACTGGAGGTTTCTGCTGCAACTGGGGAGACCCAACACATTGGGACCGCTTGCGCCCACTTGGCTCAGCTGACCCAACTGCCCAGAGCTCGGGCAATGGAGAACCCCTGCCCGTTGTGACTTTCTTTCAGCCCCGTGACCACTAAGTGCTAGGGCTGTACAGGTGAGGAGGGGGGGGGAGAGATGGGGGAAGGCACCGCTTCTCCCTCCAGAGGCCTTCCTTGCCCCCTCCCCTCTCCAGTTGCCACTTGGTGCAAAACCTTTGCTCCCTCCCCCCCCCCAAAAAAAGTGTCACAGAGAAAGAGAGGTGAGGGGGGGGTGTAGATAGAGGAGAAAGAAATGAGAGAGATGATAGGCCAAGTGATGTTGACTTGGTTATGCCCACCCACCCAATCACATGAGCACTAAACCATGCCCACCAAACCATGACCATAGAGCCAGTAGGAAAAGAATTTGAATTTCACCCCTACTATAGGTCAGAGCTGGCTCTATAGGCAAAAGAGGAAATGCAAATCGTAGGTGTTTGTCTGAGCTCCCAGGTTTGCTTGAAGTTTGGAGTGCTCTGAGATGAAGGGGCTTGTGTTCTGAAAGGGTTTTGAACAATTCCTATTGTGTCTTAATGGCTTTGTTGTCCTATGCTGGATCTTGAGTGAGGGCTAACCCTAATATTCTGCCTTTGTTCAGACTTTGCTGCAGGGTGTTTCAAAATATCCTGTCTTGAAGGGATTTTTGCCTGCAGTATTTGCTTTGCCTATGAATAGAGCTATCTAGATACTTGTCTTTTTTTTTTCAATTAGCTCTTTGTCTCTTAACTGCTGACATCTGCTGGTGGGCTATTAAGGAAAGTGGGGGGTTGCTTCCTGCCTCTAAAAAAACATGTTTCTCCCTTTCGGGAAATATAATATTCTGCTTTTTAAAAATATTCCTCAAACTATTTCATTCTTCTAGGAAGGGGTAGGCTCTGAGTTTGGATACACATTCCTTTCTCTGCAACGAAATCCAACAAGACTGGGAAGAGCCTGGAAAACTGGGCAGGGCTGGCAGCGTTGTTGGGTTTTTTCTACACCCGTCTTATCAAAGCTGAGCCGCCCTCAAGGTTGCTACTCGGTGGGGAGGAAGGCTGAATTCCGCGCTGGGAGAAATCTCGGGGTGAAGCAGGCAGAGACCGAGGATCGCCATGCTCTTCGGTTGGGGGGACGGCTCCTACGGGCAGCTGGGCTCGGGCGAGGAAGGGGCTTCCCAGCCGGTTCCTCTCCGTCTCCCTCCGGCAGCGGTTGGCGGGCAAGAAGCGGTTGTCCTGGTGGCCTGCGGGGAGCGGCACACGCTGCTGCTGTTCGCCGACGGGAGCCTGGCTTCTTGCGGAGACAACGCCCAGGGACAGCTGGGGAGGAAGCTCCCCGCGGGACGGCAGCGATGCTACCTGCCAGGTAGGAACGGGCAGGGGGTGTTTAGACCCAGCCGGCCCTTTTCCAGGTGGGCGACTTTGAACGCACCTCGCCTGGTTCTCACCGCGTTGCGGGTGTGGCATTAAATCCAGCTGTGGCTTTAAGGCCAGGTGTGGCTCGTTAAAAAGTCGCCCGGTTCGTTGACCTCCCCCCCGCCCCCTCGCCAACTCAAAGCCAAACCAGCTCGGTCGTCCAACAGCGGATCGTTTTAAGTTTCGTTTTCTCGAGGAGCGCTGCTGAAAACGAATCTCTCCGCGATCGCTTTCGCTTTCCCCGTTTGGGATGCGGTGGCTGGAGCTCCAGTCCAGGTTGGGGAGTCCAGCAGGAGAGCCGGGCGTGGGGTGGGGGTGCTTCTATCAATCCACAGCACCCCCTCCTAAAGGGGCACTTTTGCAGTTACGGTGTCCTGAGAAGTACCTGGATGAAGGTGAACGCTGTTGAGCACCGATCTTGTAAAGCAGGCGTCTCCAACCTTGGCAAGTTTAAGCCTGGAGGACTTCAACTCCCAAAGCAAAGCTGGCTGGGGAATTCTGGGAGTTGAAGTCCTCCAAGGCTTAAACTTGCCAAGGTTGGAGACCCCTGTTGTAAAGAACATTTCTCGTCGCGCTAGATTGAACTACGGGTCGCAAATTGAAGTGCTCCCTGAAGCTCTCTGCTCTTAAATCTACTGCTTCACATCTCCCGTTTAAATTCTCTACTCTTTCAATCTTCGCGTTCCCCCCTTAAATCTTATTTAAATTTAAATTCCCGTTCTTAAAATCTTTAAATCCCGTTTAAATTCTCTACTCTTAAATCTCCCGTTTAAATTCTGTTGTACATCCGTTTCCATAAATGGTCGGTATAATGGATAATACAGCCAGTGGGTGTTTTTTGTTTTTCCAGTTAGGGATTTTTTTCATTTCTCCCTTTTGCCTTTTTTCTCTCTCTAAGAAAAGAAAAGATGGAAAAGTGAAAAATTTTATTTCTGCATCTCTTCCTCCTCCTCCTCTTCCGCTGCTTCTTCCTCCTCTCCTCCTCCTCCTCCTTCCCTTCTCCTTTCTCTATAAGAAAACACAGGGAAGAGTGAGCAGTCTTGTTCCTGCATTTCTCTCTGGCTCCTTTTCTTAAACTTTTCTTAAACTATCAAAAGGTAGCCTTTTGTCCCACTTGTTTTATATAGAACCCTGAATTAAATCATAGGACTACAGATGTCTTACAACGGCTCATTTAGTGCAAAGTTACAACATCACTGAAAAAAACGTGACTTGTGACCATTTTTCTTACTTAAGACCTTTGTAGCATACTCGTGATCATGTGATCAAAATTCAAATGCTTGGCAACTGGTTCATACTTACGACGGTTGCTGTGTCCCAAGGTTACGTGATCACGTCTGGCAACCTTTTGACAAGCAAAATCAATAGGGAAGCCAAGATTCATTTAGCAACCATGTTACTAACTTATCAATTGCAGTGTTTCGCTTAACAACAACAGCAAGAAAGGTTGTAAAATGGGGCAAAGCTCACTTAAATGTCTCGCTTAACAGCAGAAATTGAGGGCTCAATTGTGGCCGTAGGTCGAGGACCACCTGTACTTAGGCAAGTGCTTTTGTACAGGATGGGCTGAATGTATCAAGAAGCATTTCTTTGGGGCCAGGACACATTTTGAATGCACTGTTGTTCAGGTAGAAGGATCTGTTTCTTACCTCTCTCTTACCTGCATTTTTGGGCCAAAAATGACCTGGAAAATGCCCAAAAAACAGGCCGAAAACATGCAGGGGCGAGGCCAACCTGTAGTGGGATTAGCCCCAACTGGCTGAATCCTACCTCTTGCTTTGAGGCGAGAGGCGGGGCTGGGTGTGATGAGTGATGTCATCTACCTAGTCACATGACCAACCAGCCACACCTACCTAGCTAGAGAACCGGTTGTTAAATTATTCCAATCCCACCACTGCACAAAGCCCTCCCTGCAGCTCCCTTTGACAAAAACCACAGGGTTGCAATCTTCCCAGAATGCCTATTTCTCCATGAAAAATATTTCTCCATGTTTAATCTGTTTCCCCACCTTTTGCACAGTTCTCCTTTTTCCATACTACCTTTTGTCCCTTTTTTTATTTTTAACCTATATTTCTTGTTTCCTTACAATCCTTGCAGCATAAGCGTAATAAATTGAAGCAAGCAGTTAATTACTTTCACCACTACATTACTACACTGTGTGGTCAAAACACTAATCTGCTTGGCCAAGCTGACTCACTTATCAGAATAGCAGTCTCTTCCTGTTTTCCAGTCTTCAGTGTTTTACCTTTAAACGTCACAATGACCCACTGAACTTTTATACCCACAACTCTTAAAAATTGCTTTCTTGGCAAAAACATTGTCTGCATCGGTTTTTTAAACTCCTCAGACCCAGGCTCCGATGGGGCCACGACACTTTGATTCTGGGTGACCCAAATTCAGTTCATCTGTAGCTACATCAATGTGAATGTCCTGTTTTCTACCCTTTTTGAGGCTTAAGTAAGAGCAGGCTCAAGTGGTATGAAATCTGTTGGACTGTTTCCACCCTGGAGAGAAGGTGGGAAAATGAGAGAAACTGGGTGGGGATCAGCCTTTGGTCTTCCGTTGATCCTAGATCAGGGGTGTCAAACTCGATCCCATCATGAGATCTTGGGGGGCGGGGGCGGGTAGGGGCTGGTCATTGCTGCCAACTGGTTGGATGGGCCAGGGTGGGCCTGGGCAGCACAGGCCGGTCCTTCCCCATCTCGGGACGGCCCTGCAGAACAACTCTGGGCCTATCGTGGACCGGATCTGGCCCGCAGGTTGTATGTTTGACACCCCTGTCCTAGATCCTTCTAATAGCAATCGCACTTAGACTTATATACCGCTTTGTAGTGCTTTATAGCTATCTCTAAGCAGTTTAGAGAGTCAGAATATTGCCCCCAACAATTGGGGTCCTCATTTTACCCACCTCAGAAGGATGGAAGGCTGAGTCAACCTTGAACCTGATGAGATTTGAACTGCCAAATTGCAGGCAGCCAGCGGGCAGCAGAGGTAGCTTGCAGTACTGCACTCTAACCACTGCACCACCAAGGCTGTTAATAACCATGCAAATTAAACTCTTTTTTCCCCTCCTGGAAAGAACCAATCCAAGCCTTGGAAGCCCAGACGATTGTCTACATAAGCTGTGGAAAGGAGCATTCATTGGCCATCAGCAGCCAAGGCAAAGTATTTTCATGGGGAGCTGGTGGTTTTGGACAGCTTGGCACTGGAAAACTAAAGGACTCTTCGACTCCAAAGTAAGTAATTGATTCATGTCGTTGCCAGGTAACCTTGTCTAAGCCATAGGTGTCCTTTAGTCAGGAAAACACAGGGTTGAATCCTGAATTGTGCACTTGGGACCTTCTTCTAGCTGTGATCTGTGCTGCATTTCTGACTTGGAATAAATGGGTAGCTTTCCAAACAGGAGACGTTTACAGGATAAATTGGTGACATTTGCATATTCCTTTTCATAGAGGTAGGGTATTTCCATTCTTTCTGGCTAAGAAAGCTTGGAAGAGTTGTTGCAACAGGTCTACATCCCTCCCATAGCTGGAATGGGGAGGCTTACTGTTGTAGGTGCTGCTTTAGACAGTTAAGGAAGCATCACAAAATAGCAATAGCAATTTTGTACAATAATAACACTTTGACTTACATACTGTCCCGTAGTGCTTTACAGCACACTCTGGGTGGTTTATAGCATCTCTGTGGGCAGAGATTGTCTGCAATACTGCATTCTAACCACCGTGGTACTATGGCTCCTAGTCATGATAACCTTTGGAAAACAAACACCCTTAAAGGATAAGCAATTTATTATTGCATAATCTTTCATAGTGCATAATGTACTTCATCAGTCTGCTTCTATCTTACTTATTTGTTCTATTTTTTTTAACATAGCTTCCCCTAATCTGGTATCCTCAAATATTTTGGTTTCCAACTCCCATTATACCCTGCGAATAATGAAGGAAATTACAGTCCAACTAACCAAACAGTGTCAATGTGGCACAAAATTATCCTAGAATAGAAGCTAAAGAAACAAACGATTTAATGGATTATTCCAAAAAATCTTGCTTAATGTTAACATTTTTCCCTAATTAGTGTATGTGTCGAGTATAAGTAAGATTTCAAATAATTACTATTGATTAAAATATCATTTGATAATTTTTATAAATTTTTTGATAAATAAAAATTTTGATAATTTTTTTTTTATGCTCATCCTATTATTTATTTAATTCACAAAGCAATTTTCTTTAAACTGGTAATACTCTATTTTAAGTAGATAGAACTGCCATGCCAAGAATCTTTATATCATGATACGGTTCTGTATCTGGAATGCAAATGAATTATTTCTCTTCTTGTAAATTCTATAGGAAAATAGATGCTTTATCTAAATACAATGTTATACAAGTTGCTTGTGGACACTATCACTCCATAGTCCTTACCAAAGGTAAGAACCGATTTGATCCTTTTTGCAATAACTTTTTTTTGCTTAATTACAGCATTTTGGATGGGGGAAGGGTGCTCATTTTTCTACTACCGTTTTTTCTGTGCATCTACACAAATGCTTCTTCTTAGTTTAAGTTTTTCCTAGGCAGTGCCTAGATTTTTTTAAAGATTACTATAAATCTAGCTTTAATACAGAATTTAGAAGGCAAAGCCTGATGCAAACAGATAATCCCAGAAAGGATTATCTGCATCAGTGCAATTAAATAACTACTGGTAAATTCCTTGACTTCTTCCTGCTGATTTTATGCTATTCTTTGAATATATTTTTTTCTCCTCTCTTCACTAAAGATACTATGATGATTTCTCAAAAATCATGCATTTAGTGAACTGTGGTCCACAGCCCAAAGCTCATTTCTGAGTAGCTGCAGGATCAGGCCCAAAGTTATAAAATGTAAAAAGTAATTTCAAGAAGTGTTTGTTATGGCAACCTGTCTCCTATCGGTAAAGTTAATCTAAAATATAATTGGTCTCCTTTTTGAGCCCAAAATATCTGTTGCTAAGACATTTGTTAAGTGAGTTTTGCTCCATTTATGACCTTGTCACATTTGTTAAGAGAATCTCTGCAATTGTTAAGTTACTAACACAGCTGTTGAATCTGGCTTCCCTATTGACTTGCTTATCAGATGGTAGCAAAAGGTTATGACATGACTTTGGGACACTGCAAGCATCATAAATATGAGTCAGTTGCCAAGCATCTGAATTTTGATCACATGTCCATTGGGGTGCTGCAATGGTTGTAAATGTGCAAAACGGAGCTAAGTCGTTTTTTTCAGTGCCATTGTAACTTTGAACAGTCACTAAACAAACTGTTGTAAGTCGAGGATTACCTATACAGTGGAATCCACATTGTACATTGGACATTAATACAATTGAATGGATCCAGAAGTATTTCACAAGAAGAATACTACATTCCTCTGCTCGCAACAGAATACCCTACAGCAGTGGCCCCCAACCTTTTTTGTGCCATGGCCTGGTACTGGCATCACAAAATGATCCATGGCCAGGTACTGGCATCAGCACGCATGATAAGACAAGGCGAGCCGAGTGACTGGCCAGCCAGCCGTCCCCCACTTCTCCCCGCCACCTTCAACTCCTCTTTTGTACCTTTGTCGATGGGCTTCGGGATGGTCGCTCGGCTCGCGTTGCCTTGGGTGCTGAAAGAATCCTCGCGCCTTAGTTTCGTTCGAAGCCGCCCCCCGCCTTCGATGAAACTAAGGTGCAAGGATTCCTTCAGGACCCAAATGCCACTTTCCAACCGGAAAAGCTCACCTGGAAACACTTTCTCATCAAAACAAGATGGCGGCCCCCAGCAAACCGGCGGCCCGGTAGAAAATGTTCCCCGGACCGGTACCGGTCTGGGGCCTGGTGGTTGGGAACCCCTGCCCTACACCACCAGACATGAAATTTTGGGCTTGGACAACCTAGAACTACGCCGCCTATGGTTGGACCTAAGTGTAGAACACAAAATTATCTGCTACAATGTCCTACCAGTCAATGACTACTTCAGCTTCAACTGCCACAATACAAAGCACAAAACAGATACAAACTCAATATAAACCACTCCAAACTTGATTGCAGAAAGTACAACTTCAGCAATAGAGTGGTCAATGCCTGGAATGCACTACCTAACCCTGTTGTTACATCCTCAAACCTCAACTCCTTTAACCTTAAACTATCCAGCCCTTGTCCTATTGTCCCCATTTATTTGCACCTATTTCCTGTATTTATTCTCATGTTTATACATATACCTATTATCTTGTAAGTCATTGACAAATCAGATAAATAAATAAATATATGAAGCCAAGGAGAATGTAGATCTGTGCATGTGATGACACTTATCAGCCTGGTAGTTGTCATGTGTGACAGCTCAAGTTCGACTCTGAATTCAATTGCCCCAACCATTTAGAGAAGCTAATGCAACATGGAAGGTATTTCCACAAAAATGAAAGCTTCACAGCTGTCCTTCTACTTAAAACCAATGGCAATGCAAAGTCTGCAGGAATAAAAGCATCCATGGTTAACTCTGAATGGTTTTTGTGATGTTCCACCCAAACTCATTCCATGAATCTACAAGATTTCAGGAGGGAGCAGATACAATTTTGAGGGCGTGATAATTTTTCAGATCTGGCAAACTCTTAAATTTTTCCGATCTGGCAAACTCTTAAACGTTGAGGGGCTATACCCTTGTTTACCTGAACAAGTTACCAATTCGTACTCTAATCAATGTAATGGTGGCTTTTTTCTTCCTTTTTGCCTCCCAATGAAGATGGGCGAGTATTTTCCTGGGGACAGAACAGCCATGGTCAGCTGGGTCTTGGTAAAGAACTTCCATCCCAGGCTACTCCGTGTAACATTTCCTCTCTTGCTGGCATCCCCTTGGCTCAGGTGGCTGCTGGTGGGGCACACACCTTTGTCTTGTCTCTTTCTGGAGTGGTCTATGGCTGGGGAAAGAACAATGCACATCAGTTGGGTTTAGACCAGGAAACTTCAAAAGGTAAGTCTATCTTCAAATTACCCCAGAAAAAATGTCCATGCTACCTGGTTACTTCCTTTTAATTGTCTCTTCATTTCTAATAATCAAATGGAGTCAGATAAAACCTGTAAATCTTTTGATAACTGTCTTCATTTTATTCTTTCAAACAGAAATTACCTCAGGCTTAACCCTGCTAAGTATACGTTACACAGTGAATAAGTAAAACTAGGGTTTCATATCTTTAAAGTAAAATAGCAATAGAAATAGCACTTAGACTTATACACTGCTTCACAGTGCTTTACAGCCCTCTCTAAATGGTTTACAGAGTCAGCATCTTGCCCCCAACAATCTCGGTCCTCATTTTACCCACCTCAGAAGGATGGAAGGCTGAGTCAATCTTTGAGCCTGGTGAGATTCGAACTGCCAAACTGCAAGCAGCCAGCAGTCAGGAGAAGTAGCCTGCAGTACTGCATTCTAACCACAGTGCCACCATGCAGTACTTCCTGTCATGTGACATCTGCATTTATCAGGATTATTAAAAACACACTAAGCCAAACTTTACTTGATTTGGTTCTAATGTTATGATATCCCAGCCATTGTGGTTGTAAACATAGTCTTTATCTCAGTATGTTGCACTTGTCCGGCCATATGTGATTCATTTAATAAAACATAAAGAAACCTGGCTTGATAACCAGGATATATATCAAATCTGTGAAGGTTGTTGTTGGATTTTAATTTAAGAGATAGTGGCACTGACTCCTTTTTATCATGATCATAATCTCAGCCTATAAACAAACGGATCCAAACCTAAGAGTTGCATCTATATAGATGAAGAAATCCCATCCTAGAACTTTTCCTTACCTCCTTAAAAGCAGGAAAAAACAGGCACCTGTAGACTTGCATTTGCATAGAACTGGGCAATAAATAAATAAATTAAAAATTAAACTTTGTAAACTAATGTATTAAAGCATCGATAGGCTGACTGAAAATCAGCAGAGATGGGCTAGCAATGGTGATTCACTTAGAATAAAAACCAAGTCTATAGAGATTTTCAGTCATCCATGCCATGGTTGTCCCAAAGTGCTTTTTCAAGAGGCAACTGGACTTCCTTTGCTTTTCCTTGAAGATGTTTCCCTTCTCATCCAAGAAGCCTCTTCAGTTCTGCAGAACAGTTCTTCAGCAGAACAGTAGAAGCTTCTTAGGTGAGTTTTAAAATAAGACTCAGATGTATAAACAAATTGGAAATCTTAACTCTGGGCAACTTACAAAGGGACTCCTTGAGACTCTGTGATATCATGAAACATTTTTTGTTACCAACTTTTGGGAATTAAAATTCAACAAAAGAGGATTTGGAGGGTGGGAATAGGGTGGGAAATAGGTTCTAAGGATAGACCTATAAAACAGTCAATTGGTACTTTAGAATAGATTACATGATTTGATTCTCGTAGATGATTGCTATAGGTCTTCTTTGGCATGGGAATTAGTTCTAAAATAATCAGCTTCTCCCTAGACGACCTAACTGGCTGACACTGGTTGATCCCTTTACTAGATATATTTGTTTAGAAAAAACTTGTCTGGCACAGGATAGAAGTGAGCTAAGTTTATGACCGAACTTTAACATTATTAAAATAAATAAAATATATAACTGACATAATCATTAATTATTAAATAATTAATGGAACTTATTATTTTAAAATTATTATAAGTTTGAATGATAGGTTCAAAGTAGAATGTGAGCACAAAAAAATGGTAGTGGTGTCTTGAACACATGTTTGTCCCCTTTGCTGGAAAATGTGCATTCAGCCCATTCAGTATCTTTAAAATGCAGCCTGGCATAGTGTAGACCAGAGGTGGGTAACTATGGCAACTTTATTACCTGTGGACTTCAACTCCCAGAATTCCTGAGCCGGCCATGAGGAATTATGGAAGTTGAAATCCACAGATTGTAAAGTTGCCATAGTTACCCACCCCTGGTCTAGACAAACAACTTTTTCACAAGCCAAGTTCTTTGTTCTTCACTTCAAAGATGGTGACAATTCTAAGGTTTACATTTTGGAAACTTCTAAAGTGGCTTTTTAAAGCTTTTTAAAGCTTGCTGTGACAACTTTAATTCAATTGCAGTAATTATTTTTGATAGACTTAATAGATAACGCATATTTTGATAAACTTTTGGGGTGGTTCTTGGAATATTCATATAAAATGCTACAATATTCTGGTGGGATTTGTTTTCAACAGAACAGATCTTCAAACCTTACTCAGTAGGTGCCCTGAGAAACCTTAACGTGACTTACATTAGCTGTGGAGATGAACATACAGCTGTTCTCACCAAGGTATTGTCTTCATAAATGAAATTTCCATACTGCTAGCAGCAGTTTGTTAACTGGATATTGGGAATTCTTTTGCGGAATATTCAGGATCTTTTGAGTACTAAATGTAAGAAGTGATGGAATTGGCGTGGTCTCTGTGGCAGTGGCCCCCATTCTTTTGGGCACCAGGGACCGGTTCAGTAGAGAAAGGTTTTTCTGCAGACTGGAGGGGGCAGGGTTTTGCATGCTGCCTATATCTCATGGATGGGGCTTTGCTTGTTTGCGTGGCCCGGTTGCTGGCATGTCACGGACTTGTGCCATTCTACGGACCGGGGTTTGGGGACCTATGCTCTATGGCATACAAATAAAGAAAAGCTCAATCAGATCAGACCAGAATACCAAGTCCAGGAGTCTCTTCCCACAGTGGCTAACAAAAGGCCACCAAAACACTCATCAAAATGCTCATCCGTGAATAGGAACATACTAATATTCTCCTGCTTATGGCCTTCAACGATGATAACAACTATAGACGTCATAGCTAGCAGCTCTTGATGCAATTACTTGATGATAGCTATTCTGTTGCAAGTGTTACAATCATAAGCTTTTTAAAATAGGATGTAGCAGGAGGTTTCACAAGGGCAAATGCAATGTGGAGACAATGACTTGTTCCATTAGTGCCAAGCCATGTTTTTTAAAATCATGCCTTACCAAATGCATCACGGTTGACAGAGAATGCTAAACCAAAAAGTATAACTTGCAAATCAAGTGGCTGATTGCACACAACATGCCAAGCAAGCCAGAAGCCACCAAATTACATTTTTGATGTCCAGAATTTATGAACTTAGAATTACTTAACAATTAGAAGCCTTTTCAGCCATTTCTTCATAAGGACTTTATTTAAAATGGGTCATTGTGGTGAGTAGGATTTGAATTAGGTTTTTTAAAAAAATGCTCATAGGTGAATATTTTTGTTTTTCTCTTTGATTGGAAGCATTTTTAGCTTTGTTTTAAGCTTTTATATTGCTGTTTCCTTCCTAATCCAGGAAGGAACTGCTGGATTAGAGACATGAGTTTGCACGCTCTAAGAGTGTGGAAGTGAAGAAAAGAGGTTGGGAACTTCAAACTATTTTGGTTAATTCCTTTTTGTTGCTGTCAAAGACCATATTGCAAAATCAGATGGCTGCAGTTGGAGTCTGGCACATTTGTATGCAAATATAACCTTTGTTCTCCAAAACTACAACATGTAGTAGCAGAAATGTTTAATAAAACTAATAGAAATGGATGGGGAGAAAACTTGATGGTGCTTGATTTGTTAACATCCTTCATAGAGTGGCAATGTTTTCACCTTTGGAGATGACAGTGCTGGACAACTAGGACACAACTCTTCAAAGATTGGTCCTCAGAAAATCGATGAGATTGATGGTCCAGTTTCCCATGTTTCCTGTGGAAGGTATGTACCATCTCTTTCCTTCCACATCTATGTGAGTGGTTGTGCCTGAGCTTTAAAGGGAAATTGATATAAACTACAGCACATAGACTATAAATACCCCAAATGTTTGTTTTAGATATATATACATATATTAAGTGTCAATGTGGTGTTCCTTTTTTCTTTTTACTCAAATTAGTGACCCATAAAGATGATATAGCTTTGTTTAGTAACATTAATTAGGAATTGTGAATTAATATAGTTAATATGTTTAAAAACTGTCAAATTCTATGTGTATATATGGTATTTAGTGTACTGCCAAGAAAATGATATTGAAAGATGTCGATATAATTCCTATTACAGAAATTTTTGTAAATATTTTTAATATTCTGCTTTTTGTAAACTTTTTAATACCTTGAACATTAATAAGGTCTTTTTTTAAATTGAGCACTTCTAACATTTTGGAGGCTGTTGGTTTACCAGGAACTTTAAATGATGAGAGGACTATACATCTGAGACATTCCACCTCTGTTATTCTGTTAATGTTAAATATTAGGAAACTTTTATTAATGTGATTATTCTAAACCATAACAATCCCAATCAGATAGAGAGCAGAGTTGTTCATATGGGAAGCTGACAGTATTTTGATTTTTCTGCAGTTATCACACTCTTTGTGTCTCTGCCTCTGGGCAGTTGTGGTCTTTTGGACGTGGTCTCCCTCAGCACACGGAAAGTTCGGCATCGGAGAGCAGACAGGAAGAAAGACGGTGCATTGACCTCAATGCTCTTCTGGCCCCTAATGGTACCTTTTTCTAAACACAAATCCAGAATGCAAAATAGTCATAATAGAAGAACGCAAGGGAGCAACATACAGCCACAATTAAGCACATTTAAGACACTCCATGGCTTTGAAAACAGATGGTTAATTCTCTTTGAAAAGTGACACCTAAGAGTCTTTCTAGATTTTTGTGTTGTGCTTTACTCCAAAAGTCCAAATGCAACTCCATTTTTTTTATTGCCAAGATCATCACAAAACTTCGTAACGTGGTTTGGGTTGAGATTTAATGGCTAGACTTAAGTCACCCAATGTGTTTCCATGGCTGAAAGTGGACTCAAAACTGGTTATACCCTAAATCAAGACCTAATTTTTTATTTGAGTTGAGTTGTCAGATGCAGATAATGTCCATCTCATTCACAGGATCACTCTAGGTGGAGTTCAGTTAAATTCATAAAAACATAGCATTTTAAAATGCTTTATATAATCAGTAAAAGGAGCCAAGTAGAAAGAAGAATAAAATAAGTTGGAAGTTAAAAGATGGAGGGA